ATTCATCAAATCCTGATGTATAGCCAAGTTTGTAAAATCAACAACAATACTGACCCAACCATTGCTAAGTTTGTCGTTGCTGGTTTTACAGGAATCCTTAAAGGATGGTGGGATAATGTTCTCACTGACATTCAGAAAGCTGAAATCTTTGCTGCCACTAAGATTGTTAAAGATGAAGCTACTCAACAATCAGGCCCTGCTCCTGATGCGGTTTACACACTCATTACCACTATTATCCAACATTTTGTTGGCCCTGAAGGTGCTAATAGTGAACGGAGTCGTGAACTTCTACAAAATCTAAGATGTCCATCTTTAACTCATTTCCGGTGGTATAAAGATGTATTCTTGGCAAAGGTTCTCCAACTCAATGATGCAAATCATGAGCACTGGAAAGCCAAATTTGTAGATGGTTTACCAACCTTCTTTGCTGAAAGAATCAGGAAAAAGCTTAGAGATATGAATAATGGTATCTCTATCCCTTACAGAAACTATACCTATGGTGGATTAGTCAACATTGTAATCCAGGAAGGTCTAGCTCTCTGTAATGATCTGAAGTTACAATCCCAGTTAAAATCCCAAAGATTAACTGGTCGAAAGGAAGTAGGTGAATTTTGTGATCAATTTGCCTATTAGACTCCCTTATCTTATCCTAAACCTAGGAAAAGAAATAAGGTTGAAAAACCTTATAAAAGGAAGTATTCCAAAAGAAAGAATTATTCAAAGGAAAAGGATAATTTTAGACAGTATACTAAGCCTAAAAGGAGATATACTCCTAAAGCAAAGGGTAAAGGAAAACCCAAGGTGGAGGCTAAATGTTTCAAATGTGGACGCATTGGCCACTATGCAAACAAGTGTAGAACTAAGGAGAAACTCAGTAGTCTTCACATAGAAGAGGAACTGAGACTTCAATTAAGTAAATTGTTACTTAATACTAGTTCTTCTGAACCAGAATCATCAAGTGATTACGGAGATATTGTCATGGAATTACAATCTTCTTCTTCCTCTGAAGCAGAGATTGAAAACCCTAGATGTTCCTGTAATCCTTCTCATGATGATTACTACAAGGCAATTATTGAGATGAATGGGTTAAGCTTAAATGTTTTGACTTCAACTCAACAATCCTCATTGGATCTTATAGATCATATCCAGGATCCTCAAATCAAGATGAAAGTCTTGGAAATAGGTTCTGCTTTGGCAAAATCTACAGAGGATACGGATAACCCAGATTTCCTGAGAGCAGAAAATCATTACAGTATGAAAGAAGTTCTACGCAGATTAGAACACCAAGGACAAAATTCTCGTCCTGTTAATCTCCCTGATCTTAAAATGGAGATTAATCTTTTAAAAGAAGAAATTCGTCAATTAAAGTCTAGGCAGACTACGATGGATTTGGAAATTACTCTTTTAAAAGCAAAATCTGCAATCCCATCTTCATCATCCAATGATGAAGTTCTTCCATCAGAAGGTACTAATTATCTTCAACTCTTGAATCAAGTTACTTACCAAAAATGGTATATTACTATCAATTTGGTAATTAATCAGGAGTACACACTCACTAATGCAATTGCTTTAGTTGATAGTGGTGCAGACATGAACTGCATTCAGGAAGGATTGGTTCCTACTCAATATTTTGAGAAAACCACTCAAGGTCTTACCAGTGCAAGTGGAGGTAAGATGCAGATTAAGTATAAACTTAATCATGTTTTCATTTGTAAAGAAGGTATTTGTCTCCCATCTACTTTCTTACTCATCAGAAACTTGGCACAACAGGTTATTTTGGGCACTCCCTTTTTAGCTTTGATTATGCCAATTGAGAAAATTGATTCTCATGGAATATGCTCTACTTTACATGGTCAGTCAATAACTTTTCAGTTCTTGACCCCACCAGTAAATAAGCATATCAATGCCCTTAAAGATAACATTATCTTTAAGGAAAAGCAACTGAATTATTTGCAACAGGAGGTATCCTCCTTAGCAATTAATCAAAGATTGGTACAACCCAAAGAGCAACAGAAAATTGAGACACTACGGCAACACTTTCTAAAGGAAATCTGTAGTGAGATTCCTAATGCTTTTTGGGCCAGAAAGAAGCATATTGTTTCTTTACCCTATGTAAAGGGGTTTACCGATAGCATGATTCCTTCTAAAGCTAGTCCCAGCCACATGAAGGCTGACTACTTGGAATTATGTAAGACTGAAATCAGCTCTTTAATGGCTAAGAAGCTTGTCACTACTAGCTACTCCCCCTGGAGTTGCAGAGCTTTTTATGTCAATAAAAATGCTGAAAAAGAACGAGGAATTCCTCGATTGGTTATTGATTATCGGCCACTTAATCTTACTTTAAGTTGGATCCGATACCCAATTCCCAACATCAAAGATCTTTTAGATAGATTACAATCTGCTGTGATCTTCTCTAAATTTGATCTTAAATCTGGATATTACCAGGTACAAATCACCGAAGAAGACAGGTACAAGACAGCCTTTTGTGTACCTTTCGGACAGTATGAATGGACAGTGATGCCATTTGGGTTAAAAAATGCTCCTTCAGAATTTCAACATATTTTGAATGACATATTTACTCCTTTTACTGAATTTTCTATTGTTTATATTGATGATATTCTTATATTTTCAAAATCAATTGATCAGCATTATAAACACTTGAAAATTTTCAAAGATGTTATTTACCGAAGTGGTTTAGTAGTTTCTGCTCCTAAACTAAAACTGTTTTTAACTAAGGTCCGATTTCTTGGTCATGAAATTTGTGATGGAAAAATTAGACCTATTGATCGCAGTATTGAGTTTGCTTCTAAATTTCCAGATGAAATCAAGGATAAAACTCAACTTCAAAGATTTTTGGGTAGTTTGAATTATATTCGAAGTCACTATAAAAATCTTGCACAGGATACAGCAATTTTGTACACCAGGTTAAGGAAATCTCCTTCCCCATGGACTTTGGATCACACCAAGGCAATCCAGAAGATTAAACTCAGAGCCAAACAAATTCCTTGCTTAGCTCTAGCCAATTCTTCATGGTTCAAAATTGTGGAAACAGATGCCTCCAATATTGGATACGGTGGTATTCTTAAACAGAAAAATCCAACTACAGGAACAGAAGAGCTTGTTCGCTTCACTTCAGGAACTTGGAAAAATGCACAATTAAATTATTCAACCATAAAAAAGGAAACTCTTTCTTTGGTTAAATGCATTTATAAATTCCAAGATGATTTAATCAATCAGAAATTCTTGTTACGCATTGATTGTAGTGCTGCTAAACAAGTACTGGAAAAAGATGTAAAAAATTTAGTTTCCAAACAGATATTTGCTGGTTGGCAAGCTGATTTATCTGCTTTTGATTTTTCTATTGAATATATTAAAGGCAGTTCTAATTCTTTACCTGATTTTCTAACTCGCGAATTTTTGCAGGGTTCATGAATCAGCCCCCCCATGGGCAAGGCCGGGGTCCTACTCCAAAGGCTCGTGGTAAAAACAAGGCTAAGGCCAAGGTGGTTATACCCCTAACTGATGATCAGTTTCCATATCTGGAACATGTTGCTGATCTTCTCAAAACTTCTTCTAAAGGAAGCAGTAGTTCTCAGCAACAACAACAGAAACCAACCATGAAAGAGGTTCTTGAACAAGAAACTCCATGGATACCTAATCAAAGGTATATTCAAACAGCATTGGTACTGGATTCTCAAGATGAGCAATGGATGCCAGATCCTTGGGAAGTAAAATCCAGATATTTCCAAACTCAACAATATGCTGCACCAGATGGTCGCCATAGATATATCTATGAAGCAATTCTTACTGAAACTTCCTCTGTAGAGATTAACCACACGAAGCAATTTCCGAATTCCAAAGATAGTCCTCTTACTTATAGTAAAGCTATCTTTAAGAGGCTTATACGGCCTAGTGACTGGGGATTAAATCCCAATTTGCCAAGGAAAATATCCTATGGTCACAGTTACAATTATTGGGATTATATCTCAGCATGGACATATTCGTTCTTTTATCAAAATCCGAAGCATAGGCATTCTTGGTTCTTCAAGATATGTCCTCAATCAGTTAAGGCTGATTTCCCAAATTGGGTTATACCCTGGTGGGCTATATTTGGCCCTGATCTGGATATGTTGCCTGAATCAATCAGCAAATTATATTTGCCTTGGCAACAATTTCATCCTCAATTACGAGGACATGATAATATTCCTGTAGGGAAATCCACCCTATTGTTCTTTACTGAATTTGGAATCCCTTGGATTTGGAAATGGGATTTCCAATGTGGTTATACCACTGACAAGTTACCAGTCCTCCAGAGGATCTTTTATTACAGATGGTGGTCAGGCATGACTCAAGAACCTATCCAAGCCCTCCTCCATCAGATCAGAAAGAAAACAATGGAATATATGGATAAGATTCCAAAGTTAACTATTCCGGAACCAGAAATCTTTAACCCCTTTGAACTTGTTAAAGATATGATCAGAAAACAACAACCATTAATTACCGAAGCAGATTTAATGGTTAAATGCATGGATTTTATGAGGAATAAATTTGTTAAATCTTTTGAATCCTCTACCCCTACAGTAAGAGATGATACATCCATGGTATCAGTCTCTAGCCAGACCAGTCAAGATGGAAATCAGTTTTCTTGTCTTGCAGGTTATGCTCAGGATCCCAATGAAGATCTTAATTCCGAAGATGAGATTTCAATAGCAGATTATTGGGATTCTCTCACAGGACATTTGAAGGACAAGATGAATCCACCCAAAAAGTAAAGATTCCTCTTATCCTGCCGACAGAAGAAGCCAAAGAACTTTTCCCCAAAGTCTTTGATTCAACAGTATTTCTTTATCAGATGCCTACTTTCCATCAGATAAGGAGACAACACTTAGTGGTGGGCCGACCGACTGCATTATTCCAGCACACGATCCCATGCACTATGCGGACTTCAAATTATTAATTTCAAGTCCATTTTATGTATAAATAGAAGGCAATGTTTCCCTTCAATGTATCTTCCAATTTTCTTTCCTCTCCTCTGTAATATCTCTCTGTACAAGTTTGAAGTTTAACAGAGGAAGTTTTCTGTAAGTCTGTTCAATACTTGTTTGAATTTTGTTATTTTAAACTTATAATCTATCGATCCTTTGCATATATAATTTTGTGCATATTTTGGTATCAGAGCCATGATGGCATGCAAATGCAGTTAAATTATTAATAATTAAAAGACTAGTAAAAGGTGACTTATGATCATTGTCTCGATTTTCTCCTCATTTGTCTCGATTTTCTCCTCATTTGTCGAGATATGCTCCAATTGCTGGAAGATACTTGTTAGACCTTCCATGAAATGCAGTGATCTTGGCACAATTAGTATTAGATGAGAATTGAAATTTCTCTCCATCCTCCGTCCCAAACGGTCCAATCGTTTTTTTGTTGCTTTGAAATCCAAGCAATTGAATAACAACCATGTTATCTATTTGTCCATAATACCCCCAAAATGAGAGCAAAAATTCATCCGCATCTATTGTGACCTACATAAGTTATATTTATTTATTTATTTTTTTTTTTTTTAAGGATAAGTATGCATGGTATTCATATTTGCATAAATGAAAGCCTGAGTATTAAAATCTTCAACAAAAAAAGAAAAAATTTGTTATTATTATAATATATTAAATGGCAAATTATAACTAACCGTATTTTTTTGTCCGCGGACAATACCATGCTTTTCTCCAAATAATCTATTTCCATTTTTGTCATAGACAACTTGAATGCAATCAATTAATGCTCCGGAGTGTATAATCAATTCTCTTACCGCGCTGTAGGTTCTATCATCCCATTGTTGTCCACCAGTAGTTCCAAATGGACCAACAGTTACTGCAACTTTTAATGGCTTAACATATACTCCAATTGAATCCAAACAATTAGCATGCACACCAAAGAATCCAACAATCTTGTCAACAGTTAATGGGGTTATAAAATAAGTTCCTTCTTCCTTACCATATGGTCCAAATTTATGTTTATTGCTTTGAAATGAAAGAGATTTCACAATAATGCTTGTTTTATTTGCGGAGTGGATCCCATAGTACCCTGATATTGAAACGAGATATTCGCTAGGATAATCTAATTTTACCTTTAAGATTTCAATTAATAAGGATAACTTAGTATTACGACAAAAATTGGTAAACCACAAAAAAAAAAAAATAATAATAATAAAATAAAATAAAATAAGTGTGGAGATTAGAATCTTTCAAGCCCACAATCTTTTGTCTCTCTCATCATCGTCATGATCACTATCATGTTGCTTCTTCTTTTTTTTTTCAAATGAATGGAGTTGGTCACAGGAAATCTCTCTCTCCATTCTCTCTCTCTCCATTCTCTAATATACACCATGTACCCCTCTAACACTAAATATTTTAAAATTATTATAATTACTTCATTCCATATAGTTTTGGCCATCTTCGTGTTCTCTTACCATATATCTATGTGAGTGGTAGTAAAGAAATATAAAAGGACAATTTTGGAAATAAAGAGTTTAAAATGGTCATGTGCCATGCACATGACCAACTCACCGGAATTCTCATCGGAGGTATTTAATTGTATATTTTTATATTTAGTATGGATTTATATAAACAAATCTAATCTGGAGGGTGTAATTCGCACAAATTAAAAACCACATGGATGTTTTTTGGACTTTCTTCTTCTATTAATTGTTAGATTTGCTTAACTCGTTTTACTGGCTTAGTTTAAATTTCTTTTCCTTATTTTTTTTCTTCTTCGTAATATATATGAATATATAACGTAATGACTGGAAGAGGATTTGATTATAAATATATATACATATAATGAAAATAAAATTGCAATAAAATAATATATATGACCGCATATGGTGTCCCTCGCCGCCACCACGCTTTTTCCCACTACTGCATTTCCTTCACTATCATAGACAATCTGGATGGAATGAATTTCCGGTCCTGCTGCTACAGATATTTCTCTTATGGTGTTGTGGGTTCCTTCATCCCACTTCCGGTGATATGAAACTAACGTCGCAACACCAAATGCTCCGAATTTAACTAATTGTTCACCCTCCATGGAATCCTTAAAACTATAAATAAGTTCAGTATTTCAAATTTGCATGAGAAAATAATTAGATCATCAAAATGGGATATATATGTGTGTGTATTTTATATGTGTGCAAGGTTTGCAATTCAAGAAAAAGTAGAAAGGCATATAAGTTATATAACTGTTTGCTGAGGCATTACTACTATAAAATTTAGGCTGATATGCAACTTTTTGAAGATTGATATAAAGAGAACATAAAACAAAAATAGGAAAGATAAATGTTCAAGCAAACAAATACGTACATACCAAAAAACGAAGAGATGGGCAAGGCTGTCAGATGTCGAAGCAAATAAGCAAACTGTGATGAAGGAAAACAAGGATTATTTGTCTTGAAATCAAAGGGACATGGCATGGGTATATATATATATACAAAAATAATGCATGTGCATCGATTAAGCCTAAGACAAAGAAAGTCACGCAGCCATTAAATTATTTGGGGGGACCATATTAAACAATGATAAGATTAAAACAAAAAAAAAAAAAAAAATCAAATTACTCTAGTAAAAATAATAATTTTAATAGATATTTTCACTTGAAAGTACTCATATTTTTATTTTAGATTTTTTTTTTATAAGTATTTATTTATTTATTTATTATTATATATTTTTTTTTTATCAGATGGAATCTATAATAAGGAAATACAGAAAGGGACTCCTACTCAGAGGGCTCTCTTTCAGCTCCTTGCTTTTTGAGGCTTATATATAGAGAATTCAAATCAGTGCCTTCAACGAGTCTTCTATTCTAAAGGATCTGGTTGGTGAGATCTTGTTAAGATTTCGATTTTGATAATAAAAATATGTTTAGTGTGATCTTATTTTATTTTATACAGTGCTAAAATACTTCATGAATAGTGGTCTAAAACCATTATACCAAAAATTTATTTTTTCTTATTTTGACAGCTATTCGTGGCCCAAAACCATAATAGTACACAACTGCTCATGACTCAAAACTGATATTTTTACACTAAAACATCGTTTCGAAACATGCTTCTGATTTTATGTATGTGTTAGTAATTAGGTGATGGATAGTTATCCAATAAAAAAATAAGAAATATTTGAAAAGAAAGGTGGTTTGATTGATCTTATAAAAAACATGCATTAGAATTGCTTAATTTAGAGATGGTTTGATTAAATTTTACTTAACTTGAACTATGGCCCCCATGGGAAAGTAAAGTCGTAATTGATGTAAGAGAAAGGAATAGGGGTTTTAGATTTATAACAATGAACCTTTGTTTTTAGTAATCATTTTGAATGTCCGAAACTATTTATTACATCTATTTGTAATTTAATTAATTTAGGGAGGTAATATTAGCATTCTACCAATCTCCATTATCTTTTTTCTTTAAAAAGAATTACAAAAGAGTCATTAATTAATTAAGGGAGGTAATATTCGTGTTCTTATATTTTTAATGTCACAATTCTCGTTCTCTTTAATATTTTATATTTTCCATATAAGTAGGACGTTTACCTTAATTTATTAGGTATTTTAGTTGGAAACAAACTTTATATCAATGAATTTTACCTAATATTGCAAGCAAACCAATCTCAATAAACAGTAATCTATTATTGATTTTTCTCCTTTTTTGGAAGGTATCTTTTAACTAAACTGAAAATCAAGGGGAAGCCTAGTTTTACATAAATGGAAATTATGTCGTATAGTTCAGTAAGCAAGTCAAGAAAAGCTTGTTTGCTTTAAAAGTGAAATATTAAAAATTATATTATTACCTTCCAAAAAAAATATATTATTTCGTGATTAACTTAACACCTTTAAGTTGGCCAAAAATATATATATTAAACACCTTTTAAGTAGTATATAATATAATGTACATATATTTACAGTGTGGTATATATATTATTCTGTCATCGGTAGAGCAGAGAGAGTTTTCAGTGTTATTTGGAAGAAATTATGGCTTGCAATGTTCATGACTTTGATTTATAATATTTTTCTTTTCTGGGGTACAAAAAATAAAACTAATGAATGTGAGAGAAGAAAGAGGTGGAATTCAAGAATTAAAGGAGGACAATTATGGTATTAAAAATATAAGAATTAAATAATAAAGTATATGATTTAGGGACTCTTTTATAATTTCATTTTAAATAAAACAGATAGTGGAGCTCTCAGGTAATGTATGATTTAGGAACACTTTTGTAATAAGAGGTTGGCTCAAGTGAATTAGCTAGTCATATGACTTTGGTGAACATCAAATCTAATGTTACTATTCTTGAATGCAAACAATTCCTTAAAAGAAAAGTGTGTGAGTACTAATTAAAAAAAACAAAAAACTAAAACAGTGTCATTTTAATAAATAGCATAGAGTACAACATTGTCACTATTGGAATTTAACAAATGTTGGCCCTTTGTTGTGTAGCAAAATGATACATGCACAAGATTCTCTCATTGTGTGAGAAAATTTGAACCGTAATATTATCAATAATAGTTGTATTGATTGAAAATAGTACAGATTTCTTAATGAATTGAAAGGGGCTTGTTTAATTCAGTTTTTGAGAATAGTTTTTGTATTGTACGAATTAATATTAATCATTTACTTTCAATTTATTAAATAAAATGAATAGCTGTCAAGAGCATTACTCATTTATTTATGAATGAGTTTGTGATAAATGATAATTTATCTGGACATGAACAGTTTTATAATCGTGAAATGTTATGTGTTTGTCGTTCCTTACTCTGAAAGCCTTTTAATAATATTGCATATTAGATGGGATGAGGTTTGTTTGAGAAAGTTTATGATTGTTTGTTTTTTTGCTAATAAATTTTAATACAGAAATTAAGTATCTAAATTGATCGGTTTAAAAAAGGCCATATTATAATATAGTTTATATATCCAAAGCAAATCACATGTAAGTTATGTAACTGCCATTGTTTATTTGAACCGCAATATTAGGATTAATAGTGTTCAGATTTTCATGTTCTCATTGTAAAATATTAAAAGATAACTAATAGAGTCTAACACTATCACACTTTTTTTTCATGACGAGGGTGGATCTCAAAAACGAGAGGTCACCCTCTTTTTAGCGTTCAGATTTTCACCGTTTTTTTTATTGTGAAACATTAAAAAAAGATGAAAGTACATAATTTTTTTTTTTTTTTTTTTTTTTTTTTTTTTCTCTCTCAAGAAACACACGAATGGATTTTGCTTATTTTGCCGATTATTTATTTAATTGCGGCCCACATGATTTGGACGTGTGATATATTATTTGCTGGTTAAATAAAATAGATTTGAGATTAATATTGTATTATTTGGTCAACTTATCAATTACCTTTTTGGTAATTACTTATTGGAGAAGTGTTTTCCTTTCTTGTTCCTTACTTTGATAGAAAGTGGAATTAGGTTACTAAAAAGAAAACTTGTTTCCTCTCTGCCTTTATAAAAGTGCATATACTTCATCAATTATGTATAATTAATAATACAACACGTAAAAGTTTTATGTGTGCAAAAGGACAAGAGAGAGAAATCGGTTTCCACGTTTTAACTATTGCAGTTTAGCACGTTATTCGTTCTACAGAAATGATCTTGACGTTGGACTTGATTTCTATAATATTTACAATCACAGATCGAGGTATTTATATCTAACTATATTTATTTATACATTATAGACATGTGAGAATAATGAAGTTATAAGATTATGGGGTTCATGTTTATTTGTGATGAATAGCTTAATACGAATTAATTATAGTTTACATGTAGTATCAGAACTTATGATTTAGGAACTTATTATTTTCCACTAAAGTTTGCATAAATAATATATATATATATATATATATATATATATATATATATATATAAAAATTAAAATTAAAATTAAATAATTAAATTTGTTTTGGAATCGTGGGTGCATAATGGATTAATATGATAGATCAGTTGATCAATTTATTTTGGTTTGCATGATCGATTTTTGAGCCTGTAAATTGATTTCTTATCCTTATTGAATTGTCTGATAGTTGAAGTATATGTATGAGTTTGTTTTTTTTATTCCGTGAATGACTAGAATAGCAATTGGAATTGAAATAATTCGTTTTTTTTTTTGCGTAAATCGAGGTGATGAATTTTAATGCTAACTACTAGTTTTTGTACAAACTTATATATATACTTGTTATCATATATCATTAATTACATATATGATAAATTAATGGAGAATGATTTATTTTATTGTAAAAAATTAAATTTCTGGAATAATATGTGAGTTTAGAAATTTAATTTAATTTTGTTAGACATATAAATAAATTATTATTTTGTATCCAAACATACATACATATTGGAGAATCAATTTTAAATTGATTCAATTATGATCTTCAAGTCCGAAAATAAAAATAACATATTTCATTATGTATATAAAGTAAAAGGATATTTTTTATTGAATTTTTGGGCTATTAAGTTTTTGGGATCGAACCTACCTAAATCTGGATCGATTAGTAAGAGTATGTGTGTATAATATTAAATGGGTAAATTAATGATTAATTAGTTACTAGCTAATTTAATATTCATATTATGTGATGGTTAGTAAATACTAAAGTGACCTAACCATAATAGTCGATGAATATAAATTTTAGTAGTAAATATAACTTAATGATGAATTAATCTCTATCTAATTTAATATTCATATTATGTGAAAATTGGTAGCCACCAAAGTGGCCCAATCATAATGATTGATGAATATTAATTTTTGTAATAGACATAATTAATCATAAATTAATTACTATCTAATTTAATATTTATATTATGTAAAGGTTGGTAGCTACCAAAATGGCCTAACTATAATGGTTGATGAATATTAATTTTAGTAGTAAACATAACTGTAATATTTCATGAATTATGATGCTTATTATTTTTGTGATATTCATGAATATTGAGTTTATTTAATTATGAGAAATAATTCTCCAAAGGGAATTTATTTTCAAGTGATTAAATGAAAATTAAGGGATTGCATGTATTTTTTAATTAGGTAGATATA